ATGTTTTATAATCCTTGTTGCATCATTTATCATTCGCGTCACAACTTATTTACATCTGTGCAGTCTCTATAGTTCAATGGGTGGGACGTGTTGTGGTAAGAGTAACTCGCAGTTATCCATGATTCTATAAAGGATGATAACTTTGTACTGTGTGCTTCAAAAAATATTCAGTAGACGTAAGCACAGAATTCGACCCACTTTTCCTACTATTGGCCAGCGACTTTCTTCTACTTGAGGAACAGTTGCCTCGGTGATCTAATCCTCTTTTGATCTATCAACTCAGATTTATCATAAGGACACAGCGTTTATTGGCACAGTTCAGACTGTTTACAGTGTGTTCGGAATGGAAGAGTTTGTGCGGTGATGATATTGTGCCAGTACTTGACTGGTTTTAGATACAGACATTAAGCCGGTCCCGAAAAGAGTTATCATATTCAAAGTCAAAGGTCGCTAACAGGTTTTAAAACATTGAGCCTAAAGTTGGAGGAATCACACTGCGTAATCTGCTTTGATGAAACTGTGGTAACAGTATTGTTCTAAGCGGACTGGAGCAGATGTTACAACATTGAGTCACACTTGGCGACCTGCGTCGACAAGGACTGTTATTATAGGGCGACACACGCGAAGATAGAAGAAGCAAATGATACCAGACATGAAAAAGTCACTTTTGCGTTATCGTTAGCCCATGTTAGGGGATACTGGAGTCCGTAATTTAGACGCATTCAGGTAGGATGTTCATTCGAGGATTGATGTTCTTCGACTTTGATATGATCTGTCTTCCAGGCCCACTTTGTGCCTGTATCTAAAACCAGTCAATTGTTGACACAATATCATCGCATAAACTTTTCCATTCCGAATTTCCCGGGTGGTGCATCGCTCCATAACTTATTCTGCCGTGGTGATTCTCTGCTATCGCTTAAGCAGCATGGGATTCATAGCCTATCCTCCTGTGCAGGCCCAGCAATCATACGATCGATCGGGTTCATTCATTGATCCGCCGGAGTGGTCGAGAGTGGTGGCAAGTTTCCGCGCGTACAGAGTCATGGCAATGGGAAGTGAAAATCCGTGTGATGATATACGCTATCCATGATAATTAAATTAAACTCACAACGATGGGTTGTGTAATAGTCTATGTATATGCAAAATGGAAAACGGTTTGATCAGCTTCCCAATGTTCAAGTGGGTAGCACACTTGCCCTCTGTTCTTGTGGTCCCGGGTTCAATCCTCATTTGGGTGGGTGGATTCTCATTGTTCATGAAATCTGATGATCCTGAAGCACACCGCATTTCCCATAATACCCACCTGCCGTACTAATAAAAATTATAGACGTTACCTTCAACTATCATCGCGTTAACCGGTCTTTGGAAAAACAGTATCCATGCAAAACTATGGATATTAAATAAGCATTCATCCTTAGTTCCGTTATTAACGCATCCATTTTGATGTGATTCGCTTCCTTACTGAGTCAACCGAGGCCAGTTATTTCCGGGTTTGTTCATTCTCGTTCAAAGTTCAAGGACAAAAGCATAACGTACCCGGGAGGGGGGCACAAACAGTTAAACTCCACCCCACCAAAACTTTCATCGTGGCTCAGTAACTCACACAAAAAGTACTTTTGATTGTTTTAGAGTAGCAAGCTCGGATTAGCCCATTTGATTGTTTAGAGGCACCATGTCAGATCGAATGGGCTAACCCAAGCCTGCTTCTCTAAAACTGATTGAATCAATCGCACCAGATGTTGGCCGTCGACCGTGTAGCAGAGGGATGAGGGTTTGAAGTCTCAACCCGAACGTTCGCGGTTCGAGTCTTGACAAGGACACGAAAAGTACGCACTTTTGATGAGTCCCAAACAGGACGAAATAGCTGTCTAGTGCTCTTTGTCAGTTATCACAAACATTTCCATCGCACAATTTTGATTGTCTATGGGGAAATTAGATCACTCCGACTGCACTGGGTTTTGGCAGGCCCGATTCAATCAGTGACGTGTGACGGCGGAAGAACACATCACTTGGTTGGGTTCCTGGTAGAATGTGATTGGTTGGATTCAATTGAAGTTACAACGGATTCACCTGAAGTTGAAAAGTTATTTTTTTACAAGAGTGGACAGCATTCCTTCATCAGTTGAGATAGTTGCCTCGCAGTGCAGCCAATGTGCTTTGCATTACAAACATCCCTGAATTAGTATGTGATCATGGAAGTGGTCATTGTAGGCAGCTTATCTTTCTAACTGGTTCGGATAATACGCAGGCTTGTGAACGTGCAACATAGTCGAACTGCGTTGTAAGCCCACTTCACTGTACACGTCAAACATTTGATCAGGGGGCCAGAAATCGCATATTCTTTAAAAAGTAAACAAGTGAACGATTTCTTCTGAACCTCGTGAACTGTTCCGGATAGTGACCTCCCTTGAAATTTGTTATCGATAGACTGTTTAAATTAACCGTTTCTCTGAGAACGTCCATAATTTTGTCATTTCTTCGCCTGATTTGCTTTCGGAGCAGATGTTTGCGCATCCAAGCTTTCAGACTGAATAGATTAATCTTCTGTTTAATTGGAATGAAACTGTGAAAGTTTGTATACTGTCCCGTCCAATTTTGTTTTCTGTAAGTTGGACGTTCTAACTATCCATTATCTTTTCGGAGAAGCGCCACGTCTAAGAAAGTAATTTTTTTCGTTTGCTTCTGCTTCCACAGTAGACTGAACTGCTTCCAGTAGATTAGAATATGTAGTCCACGTATCGGCAGCACAAACTCATTTACTCTGTTTCTTGTTACAACGTCCTATTTTCCAATCTAGCGAAAAATATATTCGCCTTGAGTAGGTCTAATGGGAACATGATTTTTACAGTCAGGATTATGAATAATTGAAAACAATTGTTCGCCTTCGGACTTGTGTTCTAATGTTATGATCAGTTTATTCGGAATTCGATTACTACTTCAAAATGCTCCCTCCGCCCCAGTCACATAATGAATCATAAATTTTGTTACCACTCTGTCGTTGTATGGGTGGAAAAAAGACAAGGGTTATCAAAATAAGACTTATCATGGGGCATGAAAACCTTAACCAGAAGACTTGATCATGTATCTCGCATTAGGCATCCTGGATGGGGACATTGGGATCAGCGTAACCGATGATTAAGAACACTGAGTAACATGGCTGAGTGAAGCAAACAGTGGCGTTGGAGCACCTTCTCAATCTGCTAACAACCTTAGCCTGACACTCCGTTCAACAGCCCAATCTTCCTCCCACTCTTTCATCCAAAAGGACCATCAAAACCGCCGCACGATAGTGCGTCTTTACCGGTTGTAAAAAACATGGTATGTTATTGTGAGAGAGAATCAGAAAAGGTTAATGATCCCGGTCAGACAATAATAGCACAGAGGAGACTGAAGGCCGATAATTAAATCTAACTTGCCTTTCGGACGGACAGAAGTTGATTACGTTACCGGTGACACTACGAAATGCGTTGCATGGTTCATTTTAGGTCAGAGACGTTTGATTGCTTTATCCGGTTTTTTGTGCACACAAGGAGGTGATAATTTATTCGGCTGATGAATGCATTCCAAAGTACTATATTATTAGTTTCATCATGGTACCCTTTCGTTACTTTTTTACTCAAATATGTTGATAAAAAATTGGGAATGAAATGCCCAAGGATACATTTTCTCTCTCCCCATCTAGACCTATTTCATGAAATTCTCAGTCCTGCATTTGATTCGGCACTGGGTTGCACATGAATGCGTATTTTTCCTGCCTATATTTGTTTTTCTCCCGACGCATTCGGTTCTACTATATCGCATAAATCAAACTGTTTCCTCAGGTTAGTTTGCATGCACAAATACCAAAGACAACATGTTTACTCTTCTCGTTGTGTTTTTTATCCACAATAAATTGGGATGAATTCAATCCAATCAGTGGCATACGAGATAGCTAAGGAAACAGTGATATTAAGTTGTTTACAGTGTGATGTAATTACTGGATGTACTGGATGTTGAAACTTTATAATGAACTGCCATCAATCACTACGGTAATATTTGTTATCCAGTATTCTGTTTGTGAACGAAAATCAATGTGTCCCATTCGGTCCAATACTCATCGGTATAAGCATTGCTTTAAAATTTTGTGCCCAGATTAGATAACTTGATTTTTCACATGCTATGGACACTTTTGCTTAATACTCTCATCTATTTTGTCCAATGTCCACGACAAACCGATTCTACTAATCTCAGCGCACCGATTTCAATTAAAATTGTCGTTCGCTCGAGTAGCTGTTTACCCAACCTGTAGCTTAGGGATAGGATTTTTGGTTCCTAATTGGAAGGTTTGCTGTTTAAGTCCCCGTGAATACAAAAAGAGAGTAACCAATTCATAGGAGCGCAAACAATGATAAAGCATCTGTCCAGTTCTATTGGTAAGCCTGTGGATATTCAGATTCATTGTGTTTGTGCTAATCGGGAACATACAGTTGTTGTAAAGAGTATATGTGAATCACAAGAACCGCTGTTCACAGTATAGTTGATCTCACTGGTTTTCACTGATTAAATGGTCATGGGATAAACCGAACCCTCAGATTAGATCAAATTAGGGCAAAAATCTTCTATACAAGAGTTAATAACCTGGTTACAGAAATCAATACACACACATAGCGATACAGTTCTGTCTTAACATGATGAAATGATTATACAGGGCGTAGGGTGTATGCAGTTAAGTGTAAGTGCCGTTCATGTACACCGCGGTTGGTGTCCATGTCCAAGAGGTGAGTGGTAACTCGTTGTTTATATGTCCATCAGAGAAATTGCACAGATCAGATGCAAGCCAGTTTTCGTAAACCGCAAGAAGATTTGTTGAAATGCACAGGGCCTTGTGATTTAATTGACAATTTGTATTCTTAAAACCTGTTTTTGCTTCGTGATGTGATTTATCACATACTTTGTTCCTCCATTACACTTGTGCATACAGATAAATATGATATATACACAGGTCGGAATAGTTCGTCAAGTTATCGAACAGAAAAGTAGCACACATCCTTGCTGAGTCCGGTTATGTTGTCTGCATTGGAAAAAACACGAAGTGGAGCAATCGGTGGTGGTGGTTTTTCAATTCCGTCTCCGCTACCTCCATCAACATCGCGAGTTGTCAGTTTTCTTGTGTCTGCATCCACTGGTTTCTGACTTGATTGGGAATTGCTCAGATCATCATCTGCATCCAGACCGATGTAATCTGCCGCTTCACTGCTGTTTAATAATTTTGTTGGTGATCGGAAGTTTGTTGGGGGCTCCAGCAACGGTACAGTCAAACTTTCACTGGATCCTTGGTCAAAATTGTTTGTACCTGGCACATCGCTGAGGTGATTCGGTTCCACCGGAGAGAGAATAGTATACTGACCTCGCTGACTGGACTGCCGCTGCAAGGTCTTCTGGTTACATAATTCAGATTCAGCTGCATGAAGATATCCGGCCACCTGATCATAGGTTTCTCGACTATTTAGTTGTTCACTCACATAGTCCATTCCGAGTGCTCGCTCATTTCCAAATTTGGTGGTCAAGTAGCTGGGAGGTGTGGTGAAATTTCGTTCAGTGGATGAGGAAGATCGAAAACTTGGTCTTGGACTGGTATCCGCGCGCCCGGGCCGACTGACTGCGGATACCAGAGAGCGTGCACTGGTTGCATCGTAAGGGGATCCAGCACCACGCTGTGATGGTATTCTACTCATATATTCCGATGAGTTCATTGTCATTCCTGTACCCGGAATAGGTAAATAATCCAACAGAGGTCTATTGACGAGTGGATTGTTTACTGCGTGACAGCCGGATTTCGTACGGGGACAGGTGAAGTGAAAGGTCTCGCTTGGCTCACTGGTTCCGCTGCCCCCATCACATCCACGACCTGATGAACTTTCCGCTAACGGAGATTCTTTGTGTCCGGTACTGTAAGCGATTGAGTCAATTCGTGTACCTGGTTGAGTTGACGAACCAAGTGTCATTCCTAGTGGATACGGGGATCCGTATACGGTCATTTGAGCACTGTTTACTCCAACACCGGAGCTGCTGCTGTTTGATTGACTCAGTGAATGTTGGTCAGTATAAGACACGGTGCCTTTGGTCAATTCATTTGTATGCAGTCCTACCACGTACTGAGGGTGGACAAAATAAAACATTTACGATTTGTAGCTGTGGTTTGACTACTCATTAGTAGTTACAATGTAAAACCTGGTAACATTTGTCATCTAGCATGGGATTTAAGACTACGCGAATTGCCCCCTCCCGTCGTACAACTACTGGTGCTGCATATATGTCACCGCAAACATAAAATAAAATAATCTGTACAAAACTGAATGCCGATTGGAGGTATTATTGCTTAGCATAAGGAATTACAACAAACCGTTCATGATACTGACTGACCAACCAGCTGAGGGTAACCGTGCCAGCTTCCGGACTTCATAACAAAGGATTACATGACAGGTTTACTCCTTCTGCCGTAGTCATAGCTATTAGGATTGTAAAACTAGAAACGTGCAACAACTGGTACGGCTACTGAATTAAAACGCCTACCCAATCTCACTCGTTTAATTTATAATTTATCATTTGGTGCACCTTAATTTGTTCATTCTGAGTAATATCTACTTTATAAAGTAACAATTCATATCATTTATAAATCAATGCGTAAAGATTTTTGCCATCGGTTGTCAAGCTAAATGAATATAGCGCACGCGCTCCATTCCCTTCAGCTGAAGTTATCTATCTCTTGTTTTATCGTACTATGAAGATAACTGTATCATAAAAATATCAAGACGAAATTCCTTTCTATGAAACTTTCGTATGTAATCATCACCGGCAATACTTCATACTCAGCGATTTGGTAGACTTTGTTCATTTTCTCAACAGTTTCTGATGAAATGGCATGCCTGTAGATCCAGTTCAGAAGCCAATAAGTTGGTACTGGTTAGTGACGACAACCTGGTGTCGAAGTTTCACTCGGACGTTTTCGTTAAAAAAAGTAAACACATTGCCTGGAAATTGGATTACCCATTAGTGAAGCTTGATCCTGATATAGAAGTGTTTTCACGCATAAAATACATGAATCTGCTGCTCATCTTAGGAGTAGTATGAAGGCAAACCCTTATTGAAGTCAGGTAGAGACGTTTCCTATAACGGTATTCAACCTAAGCAAAATTTCTTAGTGCTCGGTTAAACTGATGCTCAGTAGACAGAGATCCTAGGTGGGACGCTGCCGTTAAAATGACCTATTTTTCATGGGGATGAAAATTCGAGTACTATATCACACCAGAGGTCGAATTTCACGATCATCCAGGGTCTTTACAGGCAGTTGTTGTGATGACGTAACCCGAAAACAAGAACCTTCTGATAAATTTTCATCATCTTTTCACCGAAAGCACTGCTCGTCATACAACTTGCGCTGGGCAAGGTTCATTATTAGCCTCTCAGTAAAATTTTCGAGGCTTTGTAATCAAGTATGCAGAAGTGACGTAATATTTAGAGGACTTGATTGTGACTTACAGCAGCATACTTGTGACGCGTTGTTACTGGGATAACAAACAACTTCTGAATGGTTGGGGAAGTTTTGACGAGTGCAACTGAAAATAATAAATTAGCTAATGATCGCATCAACTTTTTAGGGAGCATTTGCGGGTAATCACCATTGCAGAAAGGATTTTGTGGGTGCACGGGAAATAAGGTTTTGTCATTCTGGCATCACAATGAACCGCATTCTTTTCCTTGGATTATTACAACTATCGTTGTGAATACGTAGTACTGCATAGTAAAATAGGCAACAAAAAGAATGACGTGAACCTGCATTATCAATTTGTTGCCCGCTAACAATTTAATTTCTTGCCAAATCGTGATCCACAGACCACTTGTTTGGCATTTTCTCTGCTAGTCAATTTGACCGAATGCCATGGGTAATGCATTCGAACTACAACTTTGGTAACACTGAGCACGACAGCACATATCAACTGATAATTTAAAATTTTGCAGGTTTATAATGCTATGAATTTATTGCAGACTGGTCATTGTATACTGAATGGCAGTTCGACCAATCGAAATGTCTCGCATTCATTTGCAAGATTTGGTGGGTTTTCCCCAAACTCGTAAGGCGTGATTTTGTTTTTATTTTGTTTTCCTCACCTGCACATTGTTAACACCGATCGGATAACTCTCGCCGGCCCTGGACAAAGCAGGTAAACCGTAACCGCCTGTAAGAAAATGTGGTTGCGGGCTGTGACCGGAACACGGTCCACTTGGATTGCAGCACGGATGAAAGCTGTCTTGCATGTCAACCACGGGTCCTGCTGCCCCGACGACCACACAGGAGTGCTCGATCCCACCAACTTGACCCACACTGCCCAGCGAGCTGGTGGCACCACAGCGGCATGGGTCTATATGACCCGAATCATAGTTCAGTTCCAACTTGCTCGGGGTGTGCACGGACTGCGTGTGACATGCAGAGCATGGCTGCTTTTTACCTCCCCACGAGTCCCCCTTAGACGTTTGTCTATGGGTCGACCAAAATGATGTCCCCTGATCACATGTGTGCTTGACCACAAGTCCGGTGGTAGGAGTTCGTTTACGGCTTGGAGGGACTCGAGTTTTTCGGCGACAGACCACAATCACAAATACCATGGCGATGAGAAGAATGAATAGTCCCACAGCTAATGCAATGAAAAGCGGCTGAAGCTTGCTCGCTGAGGATGTGGCCTGTAGGCTTGAAGAGTCCGGTCTCATTTTGACGGGGGTCGAATCCATTTTTGGGGAAACTCGGGCTTTATGAATTATGGAAAATGGGACGAGAGAGAGAAATCGGTTGAACATGCGGGATAACGCCTGTTTTACTACCCAGGAAGTAATTGAAAATGACTTACTTCAGAACCTTAAGTCTGTGATATTCTATGAAGTGTGAGTTCGCTACATTAATTCAAAGCAATGGGTGATGTTTACGTGCTAATGAGGAGCGTTTTAAATGTGCACTACACTTTTCCTATTATATTCTGACATAAGTTAAGCATATGGATCCAATAATCTTCATTGCATTTGAACTGTGATTCCAAAAATGCCACTTACACATGGGCGAAAGGTACCGCTGTGAGGGCTGATAAAGACGGAAAAGTCTATAGTCAACTATCATGCTCACTGAAATCTGATCTAGCCTGAAATACTCACTTGTATTTTGTTAAAAGAAAACTTGGTTATAATGCAATGGAATAAGAACATTTCCTCTCCTGGTGTGGATGTAGACTTTAAATTCGAACTCAAGCTAGCTTTGGTTTCACTCAGACTGTGATATCATGGAATCGACCTGTTAGTTGATTTCGAGATTCTGCAAGACATCGCGTTTGCATTTGTCACTATCGAGGATAACTTACCCGCCACCAACGCTAAGCTAGCAGCAAGATCACCTTAGTGTATCCGTGATGTTCCACTTGGTATTTGCTCATGGCTCAACAAAGTTTGCCGTCGCTTTGGCGTGGAGTGTACAAACTCAGTAATCCAAATCCAAATGGATCTAATGCCCTAATACTGGGGTTTCCTTGGGATAATACAGTAAAGTATTTTCACGTTATAAGAATCTCCTTTTGAAATAAGTATGGAATACGATTGAATCTTCTCAATGACCAAAGTAAACATATAGCACCGTTCAATAAGTGGTTTGTTCTCCAGTGACCGAATCATTATCGAATGGATGAGCAACAGAAGGTGCACTCATATCACACACACACACACACACTCACCATTTAGTTGTCCGGGTAAATCACTCATAGCTGAATTCACTAATTGTCTTGTATCTCGTGAATTAGTCTCGTCCAGTCGTGAAGTTTTATGTCCTCGGATCACTGAAGATTTCGGATCATATACGCCTAGGAATGCGAAGTTAAACGTTACAGGTGATCGTGTGATACTTCAGGGAAACATTCAAAGACAGCAAGTGAAAAAATATGATGAAAAAGACTATTTTCACTGTTGTTGTTGTCCATTGTATTTTCACTGTTGTAAAATCGATGAAACTAGGTTCGCGGTAGTCATGTTGGCTTATGGTTTCTTCACATCCCAGATCAGATCATTTATGATCCATTTCTTATTAGTCATCCCACTTTGTGACTTATTGTGAGTGGTTTTGAATTGGCTTTCTAGGTTTACACGTCAAGGCAGGATGAGAACTGGGTTCAGTTTGATTGTTTTTTTCTGTCCGGTGGGTGTACGTTCCTATATGCATTGGTCCTACATAGTAGTTACTGACTGAACCAAGTACATATTCTACAGAATAACTATTACACAACTCACCTGTCGAATGTGGAATCTCAGGGATTCTCGATAACAATGTTTCAGTATACATGGTCAAAGAATTTCATAGACTCGAGCTCTAAGCAGTTATCTACTGATATACTTAAGTTTTCACCATGAATGAATTTCTTTGCTAACTAATGTCACGCGAATAAACGTTTTCGAGGTTTGTTTATTACCTGCGCGTCATATTTGAGTATTGTGTATAACCGTTATGGGTTTTGGTCCCAGGTTTTAAGCCTATTTTAAGAATCGAAAGTCATACTTTCTGTTAATAATTCCCAGGCTAAACATGACATTTTCTCCGAACATAGATTCCAGTTTCGCCGGAGACTGCTATGCTAAATTATTCCCTTTGAGGAAACAGTAATGTTTTTCAGCCACGAATAAGAAATGATTATTGTTTTATTTGCGGTCACCAAGTACGCAAACACTCAACGTTCAGGTATTTTCGTACCCTTCACATCTCCCACAAAAAAATTTGCAAATCTGATTGTCAACTACAGGCATCATAGTGTACTGAATTAGTCCTATGGAGTGATTCATCATTTTCGATTCTCTCACAATCTCCTTCTCTGTCGCTCTGTGAGTCCGGAAAGAATGCAGACAGTTGTGGGCGAGGAGTGACCGAGGACTCACAAGAAATACATGACTTTTGACCCCCAGACCTCATATGTTTTAATTTCATGTGAGGTTTACTATTAGCCTGGGACTACAGTCCTTGAGACAAGACTTAGGCACATTTCAGAATGAGTCAGACGGAATCAACCACCCGGAAAAAGGCAAATAGTACTCCCAGGGTACAGAAAACTACATGGGGTAAAACAACACTCTAAGAAGCTTGACGTCGAATACTTCATTCTTTCAGAATATCAGAATCACTGTCTTTAAATGTAGGAAAGATAGACAGAAAATGTTACTGTAAGTGGAATGGTAAACACATTTGCCATGAGCTTGTCAGATCAAGTGTTTTCTTCCGGAGTTTCCCACCTGTTCACTTCAGATGCGTTTAGTTTCTCTCAGTCTTCCTTTACTTCACGGTCTTCTTGAATTGTAGAATATCCCCCGTCCCTTNCCCTTCCAAAAGATTTACAAGTGGGGATTGAGCCAAGGGTATCTTTCAGTGAATAGGTCACTCCTAGCACCGACATGCCATCATCTGTTCAGCCTTATTTTGCTTATGTTTTCAAGATGATTCATAAAATCCGTACACTTTGTCTCCTAAATCCGTTTGAAGACAACAGCCATGACTGGTTTGGAGAAAATTTTAGAAAATTCCAAAACATCATTAATCTGAGTTGCATTTGTAGATTTTACGGTCCGTCAGTCAATAATTCAGTCAGTCAGTCAGTGAATCACTCTGCAGATGTTGGCAAATATTTTGAATGTTTCTTTGAGGGAATCAGAACCCAAGAGTAGTTATTATCTACACAAACAATGGCATTTTCACTCATAAGAATACAACAAGCGTTAATTACATAGTTTGAATAAGTCTACCGTTTTTCTATTTTCGTGATACAGCAACGCTCACCTTTTGGTTGTCGCTGATTCTTTTTCCCCTTCCCAGGTCCCCTGCCAGCCGCATCCTCTTCAGTGGCTTTATCCGCACGTTTTTCAGTAACGATTGCTTCCGACGGGACTGTTAAAGTTAAACGATGATTACTGAAATGAGGAAGCTGTCAAAATCAATTTAAAACTAAAGAAGTTGTTTTTTTATGATTATTGCTTTGCATTTGATTGCTGGGAACATTCGCTACCATTTTGATAGATGTGTAATGTGCTTTACACGGTTAAATTGAATGAAAGAATTAACTGATGTAGTTACTCTGGTATTTCGATTCCGGAATATGCTTGAGAACACACGTTCAAATGCTGGCATTCTTTCGCTAATTCATCCCTTGTCCTACCCAAATTACACAAAAGCCACATGTTTAAGGGATACACCTCAGTCGATCGAAGGTCACAATGACTGGTTGGTAGAGGGCGGATGCAAAAGAACCATTGCTTGACACCTCTGAAACCAGGCTGTAATGCGTCGTCCTACGTGCAACTGTTCTACTACAAGGGAGGTCTAAAAGTGTAAGCTTATCCCTGTGTTCATGGGTTGGGTCTGACCAGCCAAAGGCCGATCGCTTCCGCAGTGGCTAAGTTGTTGAAACGCCACCAGTTGGATGTGTAAGGTGGAACTCGATGGATAATTCTGATGGTTGATTCAAACTTCAATTAATAGCATGAATCTGCCGGGAGAGAATGGCGCTTCTTTGGACGTCCTTTTCGCCAGCATGGTTTGTGCGGCTTTCCCGCCATTCGGTCGATGTACGTTGCTTTACAAACACAGGTGCCATGGTTATTTCTGTGTTATATTCATAAATCATGTCTAATTATTCATAGATCTGTACTCTCATACCATTGAGTGGTCTAGTTATATGAAACAGTTTACCGTAATACACGCCCGATTGAGTAAAATAATTTTGTCTGTGTGTCTGTAATTATACAAAACTTTTCTGCTAGTCTGAAAAAATCAGTCCGATTCCAGTTCACTTACTTAAGTGGTTTGTGCTAGACTGTGTATGGCTGATCTATTATCAATAAGCATGACTGGAAAGCAGTTTTATCCATTAACCCCTTAAGTGCACTGCTCAGGGCGTCATGCAGCCAGAAATACATTATAATTTACCAGTGGTAAATGAATATATTGTTTACTGTTAGTGGACGGTGGATTCTCGCTGAAACAGCAATTTTATGCAGACGACGACAGTTCCCATTTATATGATAAGGACAACTGGCTTTCTGAAAGGAGTCATGGATTTCAGATTGATTTCCAACATTCCCTCCAAATCATTCCATCAAAAATGTTAATCCGCCGCTTCTTTCCTAGAAGTTCTTGTTCAGTTAAATGGACATGAAGTTCGAAGATTATCATTAATTCAGTTCATTCGATGTTTACAGTTAGCATTCAAAACTATTTGAAAGCAAAACAGGTCCTTTCTTCATGGGTTTGTGATACTTAGAACTAGAAAATAACCCGCATGGTGAAAACATGATCGGTTATATGAACTCGCTGGTTTGCACTAGCTTTCTTACGTTTGTTTGATGCATACAGCTCTTTAGTTAGTGATATGATCAGCTTGGCTAAGAATACAAATTTCACTCAGCATATTTCAGATCTGGAATTCGGGCACATTCATGATTGTAACACTAACAAGGATAAAGAGGGTCTTCACTCCGGAACACCCCTAAAACTGCGTTCTTTTTACTCCACTTCAGTTCATATACGTATGGAGAGTATCCTAATTCAAAATCCATTTCAGACGAACTTGTCAATTACGTTGCATTTGAGACTTTTGCTCAACTGGTGAGTATTTGACTCCACTTACACACACGAATGGTGATTGTGCACTCACAATAGCCACAAATTTCATTTGCAGTTTGTTCTGTCTCTTGTTCTTAAAATACTGTCCTAATCCTGGAACTTGTTAACACTAAAGTCATCATTCTGTGCACAGACCGACCGACCTATTCTGACATCCTCAATGTGCACGTATTTTACCCGTCTTTGTTCAACGCTGGTTTTCCCTTCTCCTCCCCACCCCACCCCCACCCCCAGGTGTTCTATGACGAGGAGGGGAAAAAGGATGCAACCATCCGACTCGCTCGTGTATTCCTACATCTCTTTGTTCACAGTATAACTAGATTTTTTCTTTCGTTATTGTTTAATACAAGTTGGACACTGTCGGCTTGTCAAGTCAGTGTTTTGTCGTGCAGGTAGGGCTATGACAGTGGGAGAGGACGAATGGATAGATGGACGGCTTTGAATGTGCACGTGATACCTAGCGTGAGAAAATATCGTTTGGAGTTTTGCTCAACGATGCTGAAGCCGTTCACTGCATCTATCAAACAGACGGCGATTATTGTATTTATTGGTGAATATGGTCAACACAATGATATGAGAAAAACCCCACAAAATAGACCTCCTGCTCCTACTTGATCGAACCAATGTTGGTTGTCCCTTGACTGACGGACTTTAAGAGTTCAGCCCATAACCTCAATCTTACCAAGCGGAATAATCACGTTCAACGCTTTCATATACATTGAAGAGAGTTACTGGGATCCAGAGCTATAAATGATAATTTTTATGCAGTGAGCAGTATTATTGGACACATGTGGTTGTATCCGATTCTGGGTTTAAGGAGGGACAAGACCTGTTTTGGAAACTTCCCGATTAGGAAGCGACTTATGCACAAGGCAAACAAAGAGATGGCATCAGAAAAATATCAGCGTATATTTTTAACCTGAAAACAAAAAGTGATTACAAAGAGATATTTCCAAAGGTCTTTGTTCTCCTTCAAAAGGGAAACAAAACCGTTATGTTGTTTTCTTCCGATGGTCGTCTACAAGGAAATCACGAATTTTGAAATTTTGAATCGAGACTTTTGTCCGTTGTTTTCATACTTTATGCATTTCAACTATTCGCGCAGAACGCTAGAACAACAAAAGTTCCCAACTTCGCTTATGACCATACGAACTCTCTTTCTCTCTCACCCTTCGCAGTGTCTATACACACGTCAAGAATGAGCGGGTAGGTATGAAGGTGGGCATAGAGAAAGTTTCCTTGGTGGACGGTGCATGAACTGCCCGGATTCTGCGTCAGTAGATACTAATTGAATGGTGCGGCAAGATAAAAGTAAATCACCTGGTCCATGTTTGTGTGTACGTGTGTATATGTGAATGGCCTGGAGCTAAGAAATAAATGAAACAGTTGCCAATCGGAGTAGAAAAACAAATGAATGAGGTGATGAGAACTTTTATGGGAGAATAGGAACTGATGGATTAAAAATAACAAAAAAGTATTAATTTCCTGCATTTTGTCTCTCCACATGGGAGCATACTTCTTAACATCCGGCTCTGTTTTCCCCTGATTATTTCTTCTGCCTTGACAAGACGGTCTCAGTTGGAGTAGCCTCAATTATCCGCAAGGGGAAGATGGTGAGTTACTGAATGATACTAAATTGTCATCACGTGATTGCGGTACGTGTTAATTGTGATTATTTTTCAGTACCAAGACTGGTACATTAGGTATATTATGGATAAATGGCAACGAACAATGTTTGTTGTGTTGGAAAGCAAAGGTGAATAAGATGTGCAATATGGGGGATCATATTTTCACTTGCATGGAGAACCTCCAAATTCGATAATTCGTGATTTTCAACAAGATAGGACTATAGGAACTTCGTATAAAAGCCGAAAAGGGATTGGTCAGCTGCTTCACCTTCGTTGCAACTCATCGGCTCTCTGTAAGTATTTCTACCGAAATCGAATCCGAAACTTTTGATCTGGGCATCAACGTCCTGATCTCAGTACTATTCGGATCACCTACAATATCTTGAACCATTTTGTCCATTTAAAACACTTTGTTTGAATTCGCCCCTTTGATGCCTCACTGGCATTGGATACTGTGTTTTGGTGCCAAGTACCTGTGAATAATCGAATAACCTAATACAAGCACGTTTTAAAGAGAACCTTGTTTTTATAGTACTTTGGGTCCGTGACGTCGCAAAATTAAGCTCTATAGCTCTGACTAATTTGCTTACTTCAGTATGAATTTAAGATGAATGGCGCTGTTTTACATCTTGTTAGTTGTTAGACATCAGTTCTAATCGTTGTGCTCCTGCATGCTCCTCCACGATTCGAGAGAGAAAGAGCGAACTGAACGAGTGCACCGTAACATGGCTGCGACTACCCATTGCAGTCTGTAACTGGTAAAGTCTGGTCACTCACATGAATTTTTAAAAGTACTAATGTCTTCATTCCGCTTTTCTGTTTCCAAATACGATATGCAAATTCTTTTACGCTTACCATTGGGAAGCTCTTTTTCACAATCACTGATGAAAATGGTCTGATTGACTGTTGGAAATCCTTGAGGTTGATGGCGGTCATGATTGTCTATACACTTTTTATGGTTTTGATGACGGAATTATCTTTGTTTTTAACATTTTAATAACATTTACAAATCTTGATACTGCAACATACAAAACCCGTAATGCAAAAAATGTTCTGAAAATAAGTTTTGAAACATGGATTTTGTACAGTATTGTATTGCAGAAATGTGACTTTATGTACACATCAACTTTGGTGATTCCACAATTCTACTCACAAGTAAGTGTAAGTTAAATTTACAACCCTGTTTATCCACCCTATTTTACAACTCAGCGTTTTTATTCCGTCGATAAACTTTTAACTCACTCTCTCTCTACTGCGATATTTACATAGGGCTTATTCGTAATAATTCGCTTAATCAGCTCACTTGTCTTCGCTACCTGGTTGGGCTTATTACTCCCCATTCCGACTGAATTGTTTGTCACTCACCCGCATTACAGCGAACCGGAGTAAATCTTAATGAGGGCAATAACCCTTTATGCGCCTGGATTGGGTGACCTTAAAACTGACCGGTTAGGTTTCGTGTAGCTCTGTGCCACGGCGCAGTAGAGTGACAGCTGAATTATTACCCTCTGGCGTAGGTTAATACCATAGATACACAGATGAGATGACGGTTTCTTTTCTTGCAGCGGACAAGACTAGTTTGCATGTATCATAAAACTAGATGAATAGTTCAATTCTTTATTTTACATATGTAATTTGCGGTCAGCATTATTCGTGAGAGGTCATTAGCCAGCTAAGTACGAGAACATATGCTAGCATGAGCTGGCGACAATTGTTGCAATTGAGATAAATGAAGCCACGGCTTAATTCTGTTGAATCAGCATGCTGTCAGCAGTTGTTCTACTATCCTCTCTTCATTTTGTCGCGCAGCTTTTAGCTAATCGCCACAAAGTGCCCCTGAGGAAGAACCATTTGTTCCAAGCACTGAGAGCTATCCTCCCTATCTTGCCTGATCACAAGACATATACAACTCTATGACTTTTCATGTATTTCGATGTCCAAACTGCAAACTCATTTCTTGGACCAACATCCGACTAGTTCAGGATTTGAGAAATTCAGCTGTCACTTTAGTTTATGCAAATGAAGTTATGCTGTGCTCGGTTTGTGTTCTTCTTTAGGGGGTTTTACAACAAAGGCAGCTTGAGAAGCCCTTCTGCACATCGGACAAAAAGATAACTTCAGGTAAAAAGGTAATGATTATTTGTTTGTCTCAAAAACCACACCCAAGATTCCGCTGTCTTTGTTCTTCAGTGAGTCACTGGTAAATATTGGCGGATTGACTAAAGTTGGGAGCGATCAGCTCATACGTGTGTATCAGTGCACATACCGCGTCAACTGCACGATGATCGGTCCATTTATCCCATGGTAGACGTCTTGCTTTTCCGGCAGTTAGAAAGGACGGGGTATAGACTATCGCTGGTGCATCCTTTGATTGACGAAGGCAACGATTCTCAGATTCCGTAGCATTCGAGACCCGAATTAGACTTCTGGTTTAACCCTAATTTTAGGTATTTTCTAACACGCAAACCTTCCCCGACGGGAGTATGGTATTTGCCCTCAGAAAGGAAAACATATCAACCTCATTGCCGCTATTACTGCCTCAGTTTACCCGCCGTCGTGTAACGCGCTATGGAGGCTGTTCTGAAATAATGGGCGTGGAGTGCGAAGGGTGGTGGTGGTAAATGGATGAAAGAGTTACTAAATGGCATTAGGACACTGGACATGTCACTGTCTCTGTTCGTTACCCGCTTCGAACGCGAGCCGAAAAACGATTTGTCATTGTTAGTTCGTGTTTGATGATGAGGGGAGGGAGTATAGCATTTCCCTTATTTTAAATGCTGTCTGTCTACTGTCGCATCAGGAAGACAAAAGTATTTATGTGCTAGACCTTAGAAAAAATGAAACGCAATTGAATGAAAAATTTTTCGTTTGAAAAGGGTAAGATAAAGAAGTTCGACTGTAAAATCAGATATCGTCTTTACATATGATTGACTCGTCATTCAAAGGTATCTAGCTACAGTTGGTTGTAATAATTAGCGGATATTTATTGGAATTCAAATGCTTAGTTTATTTGACAGGAATAGCAAAAACACAGTGGATATGATTTATCTACTCAGTAATTTATCGCACTGTGAATTATTTCAGTAACTCCCAGTATCACAACACACCCTTTGTTCTGTCAGGGAATTTTGAGAGTGCCAAGGAGAGATCTGTTTTTCGGTACTTCTCATAAGGTCAATACAGTACACAATCGTACACGCAGACACAACATAGCGTGATAACCCGCAGTATAAGTGCTCATACACTTATTCTGACGGTTGACGTTGGGGACTGTGTCCGGATGGACCAGTCAAAGAAGAATCAATCTGATGTGTATGTTCCACAATCTTATTAACCTTAGGTCAGGGTAGCAATAGGGTCTTGACAAACTGCTTCTGTGAGCTGGTTTGATCCACTGTCCATCTTCTCCATGTCTGTATTTTCCCACGCAACCTTTGACAGCGGCCCCATTCCTGAAAGCTGACCACAATTGTATGTTCAATAGATACAAAATGAAGTAAAAAAAGTATTTTTTTATTATCTTAATCCGATCGCAGTGTCTTCGGCTGTGGACAGGAGTTGGTCTCATCCTTTTTTATCAATTATATGTTACCTGGTAGATGACCTTCGATGCCCCCTTTCGTCTTAGCTTGTGGCGCGTGCCAAGTACGTGGGCTAGGATGGCACTAGTTGCATTTTTATTTATCCCTGTTGATGGCCAAGCTGGACAGTGTTCTTGAATCATCCCCGACAATAAGCTAGTAGTCCTTCCTACTTATTCCGCTCCACAGGAGCACGGATAAGAGTACACACAAAATGAGGTAAACTGACTAAGTAACTTGTCTCTGAGTTATGACTGCAGCACTCGCTTCTTATTAAAGGAGAGACCGAGTTTAGAAGCAGAATATGTTTTTTCAGTGGCATGGGAAACGAAAGAATTTTTTTTCAGCTAGTGTATCTCCATTGAAATCAACACTTTTCATAGCGGTTGTAGAACAACAGGGATGACAATCCATCATGGTGTGCCTTTTGAAGAAGCCTTTTCCTCTTAACGTGTAGCTCATTGCCATTCCCATGTGATCCATTCCTGATGTATCCAGTTCACCCCATGATTTGGCAGCTCATCAGTTAGCTGAACTACTGGAACCTATCAGGCGGAAGTTATCACCACACAGTTTAGTAAACTGTTAGGTTGTATCTTTTTTTATATGCATTATTAATAGTGCTCCTGTGGAGCAGAATATGTAGAAAGGATCACCAGGCCGTTGTCAGAGAGAATTAAAGAACATCGTTCAGCCTGCGAATCAAAAGGGATAAATAAAAATGCAACTAGTGCCATCCTAGCCCACGCATTCGACATGGGACACGAACTAAGACGGAAGGGGCATTCCAAGTCATCTACCGGGTAGCTTATAATTGACGTTATCCTGTCCACAGTCGAAGCGATCCAGATCACAGAAACAGTTTGTCAAGACCCTATTGCTACCCTGACCTAAGGTTAATAAGATTGTGGAACATACACATCAGATTGATTCGTCTTTGACTGGTCCATCCGGACACAGTCCCCAACGTCAACCGTCAGAATAAGTGTATGAGCACTTATACTGCGGGTTATCACGCTATGTTGTGTCTGCGTGTACGATTGTGTACTGTATTGACCTTATGAGAAGTACCGAAAAACAGATCTGTCTTCGGCACGTTCACACCTTGAGTATTTGAGAATGGAAATATGTATATGACCGGGGAGTGCATTTATACCGTGCACTTTGGAATTTGCTATCCACTGGTTAGAAATTTGAGTGTGTAGTGAACGGACAAAGGCACCTACGAACCTTACACTAAGCACCCTCACACGAACCATAAGTAATAAAACACTTGCTGGAACACTGATTACACAAATACCAGTGTTCTTTTAAAGCCTACTGTCCAATGTGTCATCATTTGTTGATGTCTGTCAATATTTTCTACAGGGTTAAAATTATTAAATAGTGTGTCTTTGAGGAGCCAGAAGTCTGTCATCTTTGACATCTTTTGAGAATGAGTGTTTAGGAGTGGGTTTGAGACACACCAGTCAAAACCATGATCAGTTTGGGGGTTTGTGATTCAGCAATATCTTGAGCGATCGGTTTGCATTTCGTCGTTGCTTTCATGCATAAACCGTTACACAGTCACAGAATCTATATCTGATTGCTAATTTGATTCCTACTGTAAACACTTAATGCAGTAGATGTAGGTTGCTAGCTGCAAGTCAGTACTCGACGAGGGGAAAGAAACGAGAAGACATTATTGTGGTTATTCTACGGAATTCTTTCATCCAGTTAAGCTCATTGAATTGAACCGTGCAGGAATGTCTTGTCTAGTCATCACTCCCAACACATCTTGTGACTAATTCATTCCCGATTTGATCACATGAAATACAGCCACTAGTATATTTTAGCTAACAGCAGCCCCCTCACTAGTGTTAGCTCACAACTTTCATCAGTATTGTAATCATTCAATCTTACTACTGTTATTTCATTTGACTTCTATCCTCGTACTTCCTTTATGATTCTAGAATTGACCATAGCTAACCATTTTCAAATTTGCTCACTCCTTGCTCATGTCTGTCATCGTTATAAACTAAGTCTTAATCGACCGATCAGATATCTGTACCATGGTAGTCTTATATATGCAAACACCTGGGGCGATATATCTGAAAGAAATTTCTTCGACAATGTAGTTTTCGAAATACACGTAAGGACGATTGAATAGAGATTTTATTGAATGAGTTAGAGTCCGGAGAATGTTGATTTTTACTTACAACGGATCAAGTTTGGCGCAAACAATGAGTGACCTTAAACAACTACCGGAATATTTTACTTCACTTCCTTACTTACTTGTCTATTATGTTTTTGTGCACGTCATGTACTCCAGAATGATGATGAACGACTGTTTTAATTTACTTTGTACATCCTGGATTACTATTTTTCCAGTTTTACACAAATTACGCTTTCTTCATCTTCAAAGGGAGGCATATCATACCATTTTCGGTGAACAAATCAGGACTGAAACTCATTGAAAGCATTCACCACATGTAACGAAACGGTCGGCTTACCGCAAACATAAGTTAAACTGAGATGCATTTTCCCACATAGCTTTGTGAAGTCCGGTCTCGAATCGGCCATACTTGGACTGACGGAACACGAAGAGCGGCCATCGCAAGCGGCCTGAAAGTGTTGCGTGACATCAACGCGCGTATTGCATGCTAAGGAAATGTAAAGCATCCAAATATACAATGACTCACATAGGCTGAAATACTTAAACGGTGAAAACTATAGCACAAGCAGGTGCATTGCAAGTTTTCGGAAATACCATTACCCTATTTCGGTGGGTTCATCATCCACGGAGTGAATGGATATTTGAGAAAGGATCAATAATGGATAGTTAGTTTTCCATGTATGGCTTCTAATCGGAAAATTGGTAGAATATGATAGTCCCAATAGCACGTGGATCTAAACCCTAATAAGGGTTAGAAATAAGTCATCACCAAAAGACCAAAAAACAAAACAATGACAACGATTGATTGGTCCGAGATGATCAATTCATTCACGTATCCACTTGTCACCATTAAGTTCTTTATATTTTTTGAAGCGAAGCACACTTTATTTATTCTCTGAGTTTGAGTCACTCTGTAAACGAATACCTGTGAAAATGACCCCATGGCGACCCCGAATGTCACAGGCCAGTCCTATGATGGGAAAGTGAAATTAAGGAGTCATGTTCCTTCATTTTGTTGACAAACTTGGCCACCCCTCATTGCACCAAGGTTTCTGTCTCCGTCTGCCTACTTACGAATGTATACTGGTGTGACTCATGCACTCTCTCTCATTCGTTTGCTTTTTTACTCACTTGTTCACCCGTCATCCCGTCCACTCACGTCTTTTTATCAAGTCCAAGAAACTTTTCTCGACCCGGTGGACTTGAAATGTCTACGCACGAACCCGCTCCTCTCTTTACCGGACTGTAGCTGTTTGTCTGCCTCCGTGCACGTGAAACCGTGTGCATGTGTCAGCCCTGTGCATGTCTAGCACTCGCATGTGAGCTTGTGTGTGCGCTTGCGTGAGTTGGGGATCCGTGTCTCCGTGGGTTTGAGTTACGGTGAGAATTGCATTCTGTTCTCACTCTCTCTCGCTCTCACACGGCCATGAAACCGTGGATAAAGCCGTGCCTTTAGACCACTTCATTGATAGACAGGAATTTAATCTGTCCTGTCATTCGTGTGAAAGCTTTTTTGTTCCCTTGATTGAGTGTGAGTTAAAACACGAGGATTATATAGTGACTTAAGGGGTTGTTCATTTGCCAGCCCCAACTATCAATCCCTCTCTTCCGTAGCGTTGATTCATTTCTTTCTATCTACTGATGCCTACTACAATACACGCACAAAAATATCATTTAACCCGGGAATAGTAACAATTTCACCACTCATCTAGCATACATATGTATGTGTAGGTTGGGCTGCGACAGGGCGATTACAAGTGATGCTCTATTTAGTCCAATCATCCCCGGAGGTTCGTTTATACGTTATTCATGACGAGGTTAGCCAGGCACTCACCATTATAGGCTCAGTTGGGAACTGACAGCTCCGTGGTTTAGTTCGATCCTAAGAGTGACGAGACAGTTACAGAGTAGATAGGTTGAACTGAAAGATGGTAACAAATGTGAGGCGTGGGGCAGGCGCTGTCAAAACGAAATTGTTTCGTTCATTAATCATAAGGTATGTCATTATGAGGTTAGGTGCGGTTCTCACTTTTATACATTTATCAATACTTCCGGCTCTGGTATTGGGATAACGCAGGTTAAAATGAGTTCAAATATTATGCCTTTTTAGAGGCTTTCTCTGGCTTTGATGATTGTCACAAATGCAGATGATCCAATCAGTCACGGTGACAGAATGCTCCATTTTGGAATTGATAGGTAGTGCGAGGAAATAGGCAAAATGGGTCCGTCCAGATAAACCACAAGGGCAAACAAGTGATTGGCTCTGCAACAGTTGAGTGACACTTGTCCCCATAATATTCCACTCAAACTGTCAAATGTTTCATCATCCAAAGGCCTGAACACAAATGATAATCTTCTCCGGGATACCGGCGTAATTAACTCTCTGTCTGAGACAACTTGATCCGAATCAGGTAGTAATTTAGGACAGCTCACAGCTGGATGTAATTAAATGAGAATATGAGCTATGAAGATTCGAGCACAAATGCAGAAGTTAATTTTACTGTTTCCACCAAGCATTTCAGCATGAATGGTGATTCCATTTCTTGATTGGCATGTCACGTTAGTTATTCTTGGTCAAACCGCTAATCCATCAAGTTCGAATATTTATAATGCATTAAAGACTTTCTTATATGCGTTGAATCACAATCTGTTAAACGACAATGCTTTATATGTTCTCTGACGCTTATGTTACCTTCTCCCAACATTTGACATTACAGCTCTTTTCCAAAATTGTCATCTAAAGAGCATTACAAAATTTATTATTCTTTGTTTGATTTGACTAGCCTTACAATGTTAAACAATCTGTACCTAAAAACTGGGTTGCACTCGTAATTGAAAGTTTGTTTTCCTGAGAGCCAAGTGATGATCTGTGTTTGAGAAGTCGGCTATTCAGCGATCAGAAAGTTATTCCTCATGAAAACCCATGTCACATGCACCACCCCAAAGCTTTGAAAACTATGCACAAAAGTTATGTTTTTTTAGGAATCGTCAGCAGTGCATATCCACCGAGGATACGATTACTCGAGCTTGGATGAGTAGGGTTGTCAGTCCCACCACTGGGGCCGGTTTCAGAGTCTAGTTTCTCATAATCCGCACATGGTTTAGCGTCTATTTGTATCCACCACTGAAGTATAGTTACTGTTAATTAGACCGAGGTCGGCCATTGAGGTGTGTGCTTTCCGTAGCCACTAGATTTGGAGCTTATGGACGCACCCTTCAAATTTATTTAATATTTTTCCTTGACATGCCACTCTACAAGTGAGATTACCTTACAACAACCAAAAACATTGTCGCTTACTTTTTGGGTCAGATCATTACATATATGCAACTTTCCAGATTAACTTCGGCACGAACTCATTGTGAGACGGTGAGCCATGGTCAAGTGCATGCTATTTAAAAAACACCAGACATCATTTACATTTTTCGTTCAACAACACATCACCAAAGGGGTATTTGCTCAAATTTCCCGCACGTTTTTCTTTTACATATTCGATTATACGTATTCTGTTTCAAAACAATACCTTTGAACTTTTGATTTATCATAAGGGTTCTCAACATAACATGCAAGTGAAGTTTTCAAGTATCGGTTAGAAATTGCGAATTTCGTTCGCTTATTCGCTCATTTAATTGTTCCCGCATCCATTAATATGTTTCCGCTTGTAATGGCGTTGCTGCCATTGTATACATTCGATGACTACTTCTCAAAATCTGCCGTTCACGTCTTGGTTCCATTTGTATTCTTCTCCCCATAGTTATTTTTGTTCATGATATACAACTGATGTATACTGGGACCGCTATGGTTTTCGGAAATCCATACATGTCCATCAAAGGCGAAAAAATAGACATGTGCCAACATTCGATCAACAGTTAGTATTGTTCCATATAGTGATGGATGAAGCTCAACGGTACTCCCATTGGTTTTATCAACTCAGACAGATATGTACCACCAGAAGATCCCATTGGTATTCGCAAAGTGTTCAGTGTGTATGTACGTTTGCTTGTACCGAATCTCATACCCACCCCGCTCCCAAAGTCTGCGCATTCACTATCCTCCCATCCATCTATTTGCGCAAGTAATGGTGCATGGTTCGTTGAGGAATAATCCGGTCACCGCCCGAGCCAGGATCGATACAGTGAGTGGGTATGATAAGGTTTAACAATATGAGCAAACAGCATTTAGTAGCAGTAGCTTTTTGGGTTCGATAACTTGAAACCTCATCTAAATTTTGTTACATTTAGCAACACATGAGGATGCATTATTAGCAACGCATTTCTGGGTCAATTTGAAATGAGGCTGAATTCAGAAAGAGAAAACGGCGTGCATAGATTTGAAACATTTTTACAAAATTCCTAATTTTGACATGGGGTGGGCGCAAACAAGTTGAGAACAACAAACTAGGCAAAGGATAAAAAGCCATTCAGATTGAATGACCTTCTATAGTGCGTAAATGCCCTTAACCCATCTCAAAGAAAGTGTATTTGGAGTAAGAACTGGTACGAAGCTTCTTTTTGCTATTCTGAAAGCGTTCTCACGAACTCAGTTTCACATAGGTCTTTCATGATCAGGAAAAAATCTAAATAAGCATCCTGGAATAGAAGGCATTGGACAACAGAATGAGCCTTATGGGGCTACTATTGTATCAGCCGCCAGACGAGGAATTTTCCTTTAACCATTATTCGTTAACAATTGATATGAAATCAGACGCCACTCCCCTCCCCAACTCAAGGTCTTTTATTCCATCCGCCTATCAATCGAACATTCAGGGTTAATCACGACAGATTCATTCATTTATTGTGATTTATCAACAAAACGTGAGAAATCATTCAAATCTGATTTTCTCACTCTCCGGTATACAATCGTGAAAAGTGGTGCGCAATGCAAGCAGCTTGAAACTCCAACAAGAGACTGGTTTCGGTTAATTCAGTTTGCTGTGAAAAATAGATTTGAGATTTCAAGTTCAGACGTCACAAATCAAGCTTAGGACATGGCGTAGTCATTTTAAACATGGTTGATAAAGCCGTGTGAAGAATTTATAGGCAAAATATAACCATGCACCCTTCATCCAATCACAGCTTAAGCGTTTCCACATGGTCCATCATTAAAAAATGGAGATTATACTCTCACATTGCATATAGCAAACCTACTTGACTTTCAGATATTCTAAAAAAGGTTTAAATGACAATTTTTTCGGAGATATAATTCAAGTGTACCGTACAAACAGTTTTATCAGTCCTGCGATTATTGAACACGACCGAAGGTTGATGAGTTGCCTGTTGTTTGCGCTGAGAATGTTCACCTGAGGGTGGTAATGCGATTTTGTGCCATTGGGAAATACAGTTGTGGAAATTCGAGCAAAAAATGATCTGTAAAGGATATATGTAGTTATCTTTCGGGTGACTAGAAAGCGATCAGTCACCAGTTTGAATGGAACTGAGTGTATTTCAGAATGCGATATCAATAATTGTTGTCTTTCTCGGAATCAGGGAACAGAAAATATCTTTAAAT